CAGTGTAGTTGTTAAAGATCTACTTGGGGAAATTTTAACTTCACATAAATTCAATAGCTATACAGTTCAATTTACCAAGAATGGTACTTTAAATTTTGGAGAGTTGCAGTTCTTTTTAAAGTGTTCTCAGCTTTGTGAACATTCTGATAGAATTCATTATATTGCCATCTTGAAGCTGCTGGAGCCTAACCCAAAAATTAGCCTTTCAAAGGATAAGTTCACAAATGCTATGGTTAATCACATTGTTCCTGTTAAGAAAGCAAAAGGAGCATTTGTTGCAGTTCCTGTCATGGATATTATTTCAATGTGTGTTTCTGTCAACATCAGTGATTCTACAAATGCTGATTTTGTGTGTAAGCTTCCAAATAGGTTTGAAAAGGACTAGGCAGTAGTTACAGGGCTCGACACTAACTTTTGAACTTACTAGCCTTGTGGTTAGTGATAACTTAGACTTTACTAGCCAAAAATTTTTTTACTAGCTAAGTAAATGAATGAATTGTGTCAGTTCTAATTTTGTTGAATGGGCCTCATGTTTTCCTCACATCAAATCTCTAGGTCAACAAATCACAAAGAAAAATCTAGCAATTTTCCCACAAAGACTTTCAGGACTCTGTTTTTCTTTGAGATGTTCTCGGAAAAATATTGAGACCTGAAGACATTGTAAAAACTGTTGAGACTTCTTCACAGACAGGCACCATAGAAATGTTTCAAAAGCAAAACAACAAATCCTGGAAACCTTTGTGGGTGAAATTTGATGGCAATAAATGCCTGATTTAAATGTCAAAGAGGATCAGTCCTTCTTATCTAATTATTTCTGTAGTTGTAAACTTTGTCAGTAAGCGTACGATGACATGTGTTTTCACAGTTAATGAAATGTTATCCCTTTACAGTGCTGCACGAATTTGTGCATGATTTTATTTGGAAGTTCATGTTTTGTTGTACATATTTCACAAGAAAATTGATGTGTGCTTTCAGAAAATGCTGTCTTGTCTGTCAAATATTTCTTTCAACATAATAACATGTTCAGTTACCTGTTTAGGGGTCACACAGTGAAAAGTAATCAGACCTTTTTTTTTAATACAGATGTAAATTTGCAATGGTGCTGAACATCATGTGCCTAGTAACATGATAGATCCACAAAGACATTGCAAGAAAAGTGTTTGTGTTTGTCTTCTTTGAAGAAAGACAGAAACTAGTTTAGTCAAATTTAGTTTGTTTACTAGCCAGTGTCTAGTGGAAAATAATTGAAAACCACCAGCCAAAACTGAATTTTTACTAGTCTGTGGCTTGTTGGCTTCTGTTAGTGTCAAGCTTTGCAGTTACAATGACTTCAAAGAATATGTATGTTAATGCGCCATGCAGACCTGTGTGTGTGGATTGTATTTTCAAAGTTGAAAGCTAATATACAGTGTAATATAATTCTTCTGAGAAGATAACTTTGCTGTGCAGGCTTTTTCTGGTTTGTAGTACAGTATACCTGTAAACCAGCCAATCTGATTGTGTAAATGTATATGATCTTATCGACTGAAGCCTAATTAGTACCTTTTTAGTATAGTTATTTCCTACTACTCTCATTTGTGTGAGACATTAAAGTAATTATGATCTTTATCAACTGAAGCATCAGTACTTTTTCAGTAGAGTTATTTCCCACTTAATCAGACCTGAACTTGATTTACATTTGTGTCAAACATTTAAAGTATACTTGTACCCTACATCAACAACAAAGAAAATGATTTTCACTTGAGCAGTATACTTAAAGTGTACTTGTACCCTACATCAACAACAAAGAAAATGATTTTCACTCGAGCAGTATACTTAAAGTATACTTGTACCCTACATCAACAACAAAGAAAACGATTTTCACTCGAGCAGTATACTTAAAGTGTACTTCAAAAATGGTACTGCAGATGTACTTAAGTAAGTGCAGTACTATTGAAGTATTATTGAAGTATGATTGCAGTATAACCACTATTGACGCAGTATACTTGTAGTATACTTAAAGTATACTTCAAGGCTATCTTTTTTGGTAAGGGTAGTCTCATCTTCTATCCTGATACCTTCCAAACTTATAGTCAGTGTCACCCTCTCTTTGTGTTGCCCCTTTTTCTTCACCTGAGCCTAGTATAAATAATAATAATAATAATAATAATAATAATAATAATAAAACAGACACACATTATTACTAGCTAGCATTCCAGGACTGAGAGGATTATTATGTTACCAGAAGAATAAGTGAAAAGACATTGCTGAGCATTGGGTTAAGGCAATAGAGAAGGGGCCAGGTGCCAGATTGGGCTGAATGAAGGGCAGTTTATGACAAGCTTTCATGATCAACTATAGGCAGTAACAATTTGTCATATTGGCAGACTTGCCTGTGGTAAGTACACTGAGAAGTTTTTAGTACTTACTGGTAGGTTATAATAATGCAATTCAGGCAGTTTTATGGTGGCATGTTCAAGGAATAACACAGCCTATAATTGTCATGTTTTAGAATTATAACACAACTTATAATTGCCATTATGACAAAAAATAAATTTGAGCTTTGATTCAAGTTCATGAATTAACATGACTCATGAAAAGGTACACTGCACCTTTAATTTCTTTAAAGCCTCAGCACACATCTCCCCACCCTCTGGGCTAGCAACACCTGTTATTCCTACAAGCTTGAATTAAAAGTAAGCAAAACAGTGTTAACACAATTTTAAAAATTTAACTGAAGGAAAAGTAGGAATTTGACTCATAAATTTGCAAAATCAGTAAAAATTGCAACTGAAGAATATTGGTCAGACCTTGCACTGAAATTTGGTTCCTTCTCCACTGGTTCCCATTTTCTTAATAACAAGAAAAGAAGAAAAAAATCCAAATTTACTACCAGAAGCATCAATATGAAAATTCTAATTGTATTCTAATGCACAAAAAATAAGAACACTTAGAATTAATGCCATTAAGCACAAAGTAAATTAGCCTCTGATTTGTGGGCAAATTGCTTTACACCTAACCATGAACCCATCATGGCCTTTAGACTTAAGACTGCCCAAAAGCAAAATTTACATGGGAATTAAACAATTATGATTTTACAGAAAATGGCTATACATGTAGTCTTACAAGGTCCTATATTTGAGTTTCAGTTTTATTCAATCAGTAATATTAAATCCCCATCCCTCAAGCAACAGTTTTACCTTCCTGGACTCATCCCTTCCACCAAGTCAACAAGTGAGATACCCAACCATGTCTAAGGTTTCCCCTTTGGATTTCCAAGGACTTGTTTCCAGTTTCCACTATCATAGTATCAATGATAGTCATGGTACTATTTCTTGTGCTAAATGTTTAGTCAAAGCATGGCTAAAAAACTAAGGGCATCAACCTGGAAGAGATATTTTTACTTTACTTTCCCATGAAATGGACTAGGCCTTTTATTTTTGTTGTGTGTGCCACCAGATCATTATAAGACTTAAACATATGATAGAAGCTTAGCTGCCTCATCAAATTTCAAGAAACAGGTGAAATAACGGTTTCCTTCTCAATTATTTTAAGACTGATTTTCCTTTTAGAAGAATTTTCTGATCTCTATACTAAAGGAATCTTTCCTTATCATATAGCTTTAGTTCTTAGTATTTTTATTGTAATGCATAACATAGATAACTTATTGAACCACCATGTACTCTCAGATCCCCAGTATTGTGCTATCCAGGCAAACATTACAATGATCATCGTTTATTGAGAGGTGAGGTTGTAATGCGCAACATGTAAGCTTCATATTATATCATAATACACTCGCTAAGCAAACAGAGTCTTGCACTCATTTAGTTCCTTCACACGCCAGCCGAATAAATCGTTTGAATTTGACTGCCAAATGTTATATCAACGGATATTACATTCAAATCACCTCATGCAGTCACTGAGTGGAACTCGAAGGCTTTCCAGTATAATTGCTTGACATGTGGAGTTGCTACCACAACAAAAAGAGTAAGGTTAAGCCATCCAAAACGATCCAATGGCGGAAATATAAACCCTTTGTGTTCTTCCAAGTTATTCCAAGCTGCTTTCGATGTAGGGTAGTCATTTAAGTTCAGCTATTCATTTGAACAGTTCGGTGTGTTACTTTCGCAGCTGAAAACCATTTAGTTTGAAAACATTCAATGCATGACTAAAACACCCTACCTTCAAAATGAAACGCAGCAAAGTACCAAGGTAATCTGTTGGGTGAATGTGAAGTCATTTGTGACGGCTGGCCGCTACCTGTTCATTCTAGACTTTCTAAAAAAAGTCACTCATTATTCAACGGAGAGAATGGGAGATAAAACTGCCAATTGTCACAAATAAATCTACATTACTTTGCAAGGCGAAGTATTTTCTACGCAAAATATACTTTGAATTATATCGCCAGGTTCAGGCATTCGGAATTTTAGTAGTCTATTAACCCAACGTAAGCTCTTGTCACGCAATACTTTTTGTCCCAAGGGGAAGGAAGTGTATTTGCGGTGACCGTTGGGTCGAGAGTTCTGAATGCGCATAGGAAGATGATTTCCCTTTCGTTTTGTTTTGTTTTTTGGATCAATGTACGACATCTTGTGGGAGCGAACGTATTTACGAACAAAGTTATTTGAAGCGGTTCTAAAAAAAGTTCACGGCTCTTCACTGAGGCTCTTATAGGGGTGTTGGCTTTCACCGTGAACGGTTAAAATTATGGACATTTTACGGCTAACAATTCATTTTTTTCCGTTTGAGGTTACGAGGAAAATTTTTTAAGTTCACTGTTTTTACGTCTAACCGTTAAATTTTGTCAAGTTTACGTGTAAAGGCTTAACAAATTTATGCCGTTTTACGGCTAATAGTTGACCCCATTGAGAGCCTCTTACCTCAAGATTGTAGTCATGTTAGTCTTAGACAGATAGAAGGGGCGTGTGATCGCAGATTATTTTTTCTAGGGCTACCCTCAATACACAGTCCGCTATTATTACAGCATTCCAAATGCAACAGAGTCTCGTTTGAATGAGCGACAAAATGCTGGGGGTTATTTCGCTGGGGATTTGATGAAAAGTTGAGCCAGAACTGAAATGCATCTTCCATGGTGTTTCACCAAAATACAATTTGCGACAATACAACTACAAGGTTAAATGAGGAGTTAACAGCAGATCTGACCCTTGGAACAGCATCTTCCCCAATATGCAATGTCTTAAGTAACTTCTACTCTGTATTTGAACAGAATTTACTCTTGGCATGGTAAACTACTTTTGGTAAAAGTAGTTTAAAGCTTGAGCCACATCCAGAGCAATAACAAATATTTCGGTCTTGGAGCTGTGACTCCAATTTATCCTCAAGAATCGCAATTTGTTGCCTTAAATCAGCACTTCTACTTATCTCTCTGCAAATTGTCATTGAACATTGAACACACCTATCTCTGTAAATTTTCTTTTTCCCGTAACTGCTGCTGCAACTCCTCAAGATGCGTTCGTAAATTTTCTTCTCGTTCTTCTTTCTCTGTGCACTCCAGCTCCTTTCTACTCAACTTTCTTTGAAAGTTTAATACTTGCTGGGTTCTTTCAATAAGCTGTTCACAAAACCATGCTTCTCTCGTTTCAGTTTCCTCTATTTTTTCTCTCCACCTTTGCTTTCGTTCTTCTTTCTCTGTCAACTGTTTCTACAAGTTCTTTATTTGTTGGTCTTTATCTTTGAGCCGTATTTTAAACGCAGTTTCTTCCTCTTTCAGTCGTCGTTCCATCTCTTTAAGCTGAGTCTGGAAAATTTCCTCTCGTTCTTCTTCCTTTTTTTAATGCAACTGTTGTCCCATCTCCTGCAGTTTTTCTTGAATGTCCTCTATTTGCTGATCTCTTCCTTGCAGCTGTTTATGCAGGTAACTTTCTTTCGACTCCTTGTGCGTCATTTTTGCAACTGTTGCTCCATCTCTTTCAGATCTCTTTGTAAAAGTTCTTCTCGATTGTCTTTCTCTCCCAGCTGCCGCTCCAGCTTCCGCAGTTGTATCTAAAGGTTTGCTATTTGCTGGTCCCTTTCTTCGAGCTGTTGATGCAACTCATTTTCTCCTGCCTCCTTCTCCATAATTTTATTTTTTAACTTATGATTCACCTCTTATTCAAGTCTGTTTGTAAGGTTTCTAATCGTTCCTCTCTTTCTGAACAGTGTTGATTCGTCTCCCTCAGTTGCTTGTGAAGAGTAGTCACACGCCGGTCCCTTTCCTCGAGCTGTCGGAGTAACGCACTTACTGTCGATTCTATTTCCGTTTGACTGCTTATCCTTGCTCCATTTCTCTCAAGTCTGTTCGTAACATTTCTTCCCCTACTTCCTTCTGTTTAGGCTCCTTTTCTTGGTTCGTTTTCCCTTTTCTTTTTTATGGATGTGTTCGGCTGATTTTCTACCAGTCCTATTTCCGCCGACTGAATAGAAAGTAAGTAAAGTATTTCTCTTGCAGTCACGTCTTCTCTCAAGGATTGCTCCATCTCGTAAACCTCAGTGCTACTTATGAATTTTGTTCACTTTTCTTCTCCGGCGGGTTGGCTTTGTTTCAGAATTCTTAAGAAGTGCCTGCGAACGTCTTTGTGTCTGTCTCTGATGTCAGAATCTGTCCAAGGCTTTAATCTATCCAGTGCAACGGAAACTGTTCTAGAGTTTGGTTCACAAGTGAAATATCGCTTGTCGCTGAATTTTCCATCAGGTACTCCATGGTTGGGAAGAATTTCCGGAAAAAGAGGTCGAGTGTACCATGGTATGATCGAGTGTTGATTTTCCTCATCACAGAGACCTCTATATTCGAAGTACTACTCTCTGTCATAGCAGTCAAAGCCAGCTTTGTTTTCTGGAATAAGTAGATTCTTCAGCTTTGCGTGGTGATTACAACACTCTTGATGTTGAAAAATTAGAGGAACCGCTATCAACTGTTTTATTAAATGCGCAATACCACTCTACATTTTTTTTCACAAAAACGTGTTAAGTTAATTATCAATTTTTCATTCAGTTCTGTGACACCTTAATTTGATCCATATGAAATCTTTTTAAACGGAAAAATACTGCACTAATTACGATGATTCTCCCACCTCCTTCTAGAGCCAATATACAACCATGCCATCTATATGTTAGGATTTGTCTGGTACCTTGCTTTAAAAGGTAGCACACTTCGAAATCCTATTCATTTACGAGTGAAACTCGAGATGCTCCTTGGTGACTAAATAATCATGTAAATCATACATGTCGTTGCGTTAGAATTTTGAGGTATCCCAAAGTCTCTATAACTATCTAGAAATTGCATTTATTACACATAAGTTTCTGCTACACATGACGTGCTCTACAGACATTCATGCACAGAGTTTTGATAAGTCTGGGGGACATTTCAGAACACACGTGGCACTAAAAAAATACCCTCTCTCGGTAATAGGCTCCTGTTTGGAAGTCTTGCTTAAATTAGAAGGCTCTCTCTTACTTTGGGATAGTTATCGATGGTTATCGTTAATATTTCGCTGATCTCCTTTAATTAATTTTTTCAAATTAATGGCTCCTACAGCAAACGCTGATAGTTACGACTTAAATAGTACAAAATTTAGTGAACAAAATCCTGCATACTTTACACGGCTAGCTTTCCATTATGAAAAATAGAAAATGAAAAGCATCTTTTTAACGAACAACGGCATCAAAATAAAGTCCCGAAAAAGACAACGTGGTCGCCCATTTCTCGCTAAAACGTAACAATTATCTAATTTGCTGGATTGCTTTTAAGGAGAGATTCCTCTTGTTTTTAATTTTTTCCTTGTTATTTATTGCCAAATGAACCTGTTCTCGTCCTTCGAAAAACCTCTTTAGAAATTCAAGTGACACTTAATCTCAGTTCAACTTCAAACCAAGTTCTAAGGCTAGGTGATAATTCGCCTTTGTATCGCACAATCCCAGGCTGTTCGTTAGGTAATCCTTTCACATAAACAAGAACCTCTCTTCCGGAAAAAATATTAGATGCGATTATCAAATGTTTCCTCTCAACTAATGTCTGATGATTTGATTCGTCCGATGAAATCGCTAAAAGCAAATTAGCGTTTTCGTCAGAAAGTTCAACAACATCCTAGATCCCTAATACAGTTAAGATTCAACAGAGTATGGCAATTGGAACAGGGGCTATTCTTTTTTCATCTGCCGACTACACACTGAAGCAGCTGTTAACAGCTCGCCTCGCGGCACTTGTGTTCGCAAAGAGGTATTACTGTTCTTACCGGTGCCTCCAATATGATCACGAAGAATTTACTTCATCGCTGAACTGTCCATTACACATGAAGATCCCAGTAAAATTAATCAGTTGATAGTCGCAATGCGATATCTGGGTAAACAAAGACCTCACACATTGGGACAGGTGAACATGGACGGCAACCTCAGACCGCGCGAGGACTCGACAGCGCACCCAAGCCATGATTTTTCCAAGCCATGCCAGCAATACACCGAGACACGGTCGATACTTGAGGCTAAAAATGGCCAGATTTAGGGAACAAAGATGGGCTTATGCTCGCTCTTGACTTAGATGCGATTGGACATCCCTTTCATATCGTGAGGGAAAACTCAATCTGCCCCCTCCCCCGACCGACCGGGAACGAGTGCAAAGGGTAAATATCCGTACAAATTTTCGCGCCCTACAAAGGCTATTGTGTTTATTATCCGTGTTTACGAACAGCTTACTGTATGCAGCGTGGGATGTTTTCTTTTGAGTGTTCTCTGGTACGACTTGAAGAACCGAAAAAGATTCTCCTTTTCATGTAACAGCCACAAAACCCTCTCTCATCTTGAATTAAATTTCAAACGAAGACTTATCGTATTGGACGCAAGGTTTAAAAATTAGGGAATATCGCTGAGGTAATGTTCTCGGATATCACCCACTTTTAGCTGGGGGCTATTAGGTCACGTGCTGCGTTTAGAACAATCGCGCGCGAGCGAGCAAAATATCCCCTGTATGAAGGTGGCAGATGGCGCTAGCAGGGCCGGAAAAAGCCGTCTGTCTATAGGTACATACGACTACCGTGAACCAATTGTCATGCAACGCATGGAGGAGGAAAACAATTACTATAAAGTGTTGACCTTTTAAGAAAAAAAATTTTATTATCCATTTCCTGGACTATAGCTTCTGTCACATATATGCCTTTGGCTCTTGCTTTTGTGTTACCTCGTCTTTTTATAGGCTTGACTTCTCTCTAATAAAGCAGTCATCTAAAGAGGTTGTTTGTCTTAGAAGGGCTTTTAAGCCTAGACAGATTTCTTATTGAGTAGAGCTACTAATAGCTAAGAAATTTGTGATTTAACGGCTTCAAAGTGAGTGCTAAATGATACAATTTTAAGGTAAACTTTGAGCCTTTTTTCTCGTGCAAAAACTTTGCATTTTATTACACACAACTTTATATCACTGAAACCTGTGGTTTTGATATTTAAAAGGGAATAATTCGCGATGCTTTTCAGAAAAATCTACGTTACAAAATTACAGCATTAGGTGAAAACATAAATGACCCCTGGACTTTTTTCAAACGCTATGGCTCAGCACCATTTATTAGTAGAATCCACTTTAAAACGACGAAAATACTGCATTTATTTCAAATGCCCACATCAAGCAGAATATACTGTCGTTATTTCATAGTAACTTACGAACATTGGACACCCTGAGGTAAGGCGTATGAGGGCCTGATTATATGAGCCGGGATGGCTCGGTTTTTGCCGAGATCTCGGCACTTTCGCTTACCGGGCTGCCTCGGTTGTCATGTAATCACTAATTTAATTATTGTTGTGTTAAAGTGACGAGATCTCGGCAAAACCGAGCCAGCCCGCACCATGTAACCAGGCCCTTAAACTGAGTGTTGCTGCTGTCGTGATGCACGAAAAAACTGCCTTAATTTAAAGGTAGCATGCAATTTTCCGAGGAATATCTTTCTAGGAAAATTCAACGCGGGTTCCGGAACGAGGGTGTTTTATGAGCATTAATTTTTTTGTAATTTTAAAGGTATCTGCAACAACTTTCTGAGCGAGGGCGCCTTACGTTCTCACAGAAAGACTTAAAATGGACACTCAATCAGGTGGGAGCATTATATCTGCAGAGAGGCCCAAGGTTGAGTACTTTTAACTAGATGGAGCTTATCCAGCAAGCGAAAAGGTAATGACAGAAGACTGTCGCTTACTCATCATAAATCCCCCTCACTAAGGAAATTATATTGTCATCAATACCACTTGGAACACTTGACAATAGCCAATCAAAAATTGCAGTTTCAACTCGCTACAATTTCTCTTTGATATGTTTTTTAATACCTGTGCTATAATATTATGTAGAGTTATGACCGTGAATTTTAAGATGAATTTCCACGTTATCTACAATTTTTGGTAAAGAATGCTAGAATATTACCGAGAAACTACATTTACCTCACGCTAACAAAGCTTAAATCTACAATCTTACTATAGTTGTTCTCATTGGAAAATGTTCTCTTCCATACTTGATCTCGTCTCAGGCCTTGCTTGGAGACAATTCTGGATGAAACGTCACAGCCTACGGAGTAAATGGACGTTTATTTGAGTGTCATCATGATTCTTGTGCACTATCAGCACTAATTTACCCGTTCGACTTAGGGATTACGCCTTTGATACCTTGGCAAATAATGAATGCACATAACACACAGATTGAGAGAAAGACTTAGACAAATATATATCGGAAAGTTATAATTAGGACTGAAGGGAAAGCCTAGTGATAACATAAAGACTGACATCTACCCTTTGAAAAGGTGCGAAACTTGGGGTTTTTTTAAACAAGCAGTTCTGCCAAAAGACAATCAAATGGTGCGCTAAGCATATTTCACGAGTGCAGAAAACGATACGTATAGAGTCAAGAGGCCTGTGTTTTTTTTCCCGTGAACCGTAAATAAACCACATATAAACTCGACTCCGTTAGGAAATAGAGTGCCATTAGTATTGCAGCTTGAGGAAAAACACCAAAAACATAAGAAAACCAAAATAGGAAAAAAAATCGTATAAACGTATCACGCGCCAGGAAGAGAATGATATGTTTGATTGACTGATTCCAATTTCTCTCCTTGACATAGAAACGTACTGAAACGTGTGTGATTGTGCTAGCTGTTTGACAAAATTTTTAGTGTTAAAACTTACATTCCCCTCTTTAAAAATATGACAAGACTCCCGTAGCACTTCCTGGAACTGCTCAAGTTTGTCAATGATTTCTGTCATATCTGGTCTATCATTTGGGTTCGTTTGCAAACATTGGCGCACGAGCTCTTGCAGCGCTCGGTTTGACATCTTGTCGACTTGCTCATCACGCCTGTCAGGTTCTGGATATTCTTGAATGCACATTTCACACAGAAGAACACCAAAGCTGTAGACATCCATCTAGAAATGATTCAGCAACATGACTAGGTAAAAATAAGGTCACTTCAAGTCGAGTATAGCGAGCTACCTCATATAAGATAATTTTCTAACACCATTGACTGTAAGCAGAACAGAAAAACATTGTTTCATCCGCATGTGTTCTGTCTCCTTTTGAATAGATAGACTTGCTACAAAAAAAAAGACAGAATATACTCAAAGTACACAATTCAATATAACAGAATGCAGTTATCATAAACTACTGGATCAACCCTCGTTCTTTTGTATACCTAAGAAGACCCTGCTTTTATATTATCTATGCTCTCATACTGTTCCCTAAAATTTGGTCACTGCTGACAAAAAAATACCGCGTGCTTATTAATTAAATGGACCATTTAACTAATTCTGCTTTTCTGGCCAAAATAGAGTGTACATTGCCCACAAACCACTAGTAATGATACCTTCGCTGTTTGGGTCGTTGTACGCGCCTCAGGTGCACTGTACGCCAAACATCCAGGAGTTTGAGTCATGACTTGTTCCACAAATTTGGCAGTGCCATAATCGGAAACCTTTCCTCTCCATTGAGCCTCTTGAATGCCTGCCTCTCGTCCGGCCTTTCGCCATAACAACACATTGGCACTGTTAATGTCGCGATGAATCATTGGTACAGGTCGTTTTTGGTGAAGGTAGTTCAGTGCCCGAGCCACATCCAGCGAAATTATGGAGACTTCTTCGATGGACAGAGATCTTTTATTCAAAAGTCGCCGTAGACTTGTTTCCATTAGCTCTGTCACCAGGAGAGGACAATCCTCGTCGATAATTGCTCCAATAAATTGCAGCAAACATGGATGGCGGCATTTTGAAGCCATGTCAATTTCACGCTGAAACATTTTAAGACTACAAGCTGGAGCAAAGTCTTCGTGGATTTGTTTCACGGCAACAGCACAACCACAGTATCTGCCCTCATAAACCGTTCCCCAACCTCCAGACCCAAGGCGCTTATCGGTCACTTGAACTTCATTACGGCTGATAATCCAATCATAGGAACTCTTCTCTCTTTGCGCCAGTTTTTGTTCCATCTCTCTCAATCGCTGGTTTTGGGCTTCAACTCGGTCTCTTTCCCAAAGCAATTGCTGTTCCATTTGCCTTAGTTGTGTTTCAACACTTGCTTTTTGACGACGCATCTCATCTACTTCGTTCTGTAACTGCTGAGATTTCTCCTGCAATTTTGAGCACTCACAATCTTTCCGCTGCGACTGGTTTTGGACATTTTCAAGTTGCTGTGTCATCCCGCCCATTTTTTCCAATGTCAAATTCTGAGAGAGGTCTCCGGCTCCTTGTAAAAGGTACAAAGATCCAAATTAAGAAAATTAATGGGATTATGAATCAAGATCGAGACCCGAATATGTATGTTTTAAATTGAAAAATACAACATGAAAATTTGGAAATTTTATGGAATAGCTTTTTAGGCTTGCCCGGTTTTGCTTGTGTATTTGTATGTTTCAGTCATACATTTTAACTTTCTAAACGGCTAAAGGAGAACTCATCCGAAAGTGGTGCAGGTCGGTACATACCATCTAATGATTCGGCCACCTCTCTCATGTTATTATTCGAAGGTCCTTTATTTTCCCTCAAGATTTTAATGATAACGTCGGCCTGAAGAGCAAAAACGTTATGCAATATATCAAAAGCTCGCAACCCATCGAGACATGCACTTGCGAGTCTTGAAGTTGTGATCTGTATAATAATTGAAGGGTGTTTGTCTGAAGAAAAAAATTTTTACCTCGAAGGCAAGGGGTAAAACTGCACAAAAAAAATTGGCCAGTAACGTCATTTTCAAAAGTGGCCGATACGTGTGCAGTAATTTACCCTTGTAATCATCCTCGATTATTAAAGACAAATGCGTAACTAAGAACGTACAAACCTTTCATTCTCAAATGTTTATGCGTTTGCTGAAATAGATCTGTCTGATTTGGATATCACATGGAATACCTTTCCTCCGGTAGAACGTTGGCAAAGGAAGATAACTTTTTGGGGCTCAAATGTAATGACATCACAAAAAATTATCTTTATACTTCTGAAATTACAGTGTCTGTAGGTATTCTGGTCGGTCCACAGCCTTTTTTTTCTTGAAGTTTATAACCTTCACCGCTGAGGTGAAAAGGAGTTTTTTTGCGATTTTACCGCAACCTGGGTACCGAACAGATTGATACTGGTTACCGTAGAGACAGAACCACGTCAAGGGACGTCTTGGGGATCAAATCAAACTTATTGCCAAGTGATGGCTGTCAAACATGGCTCCATTCTAAGGCTATGTAAGCAACCCCTCTAGAATCCTTGGAACAAATCCATTGCTTTGACAATCTGAGCTTTCTCTACCTTAGCCCTATATAACTGGGCAATCTTTATTGGTTCCGATGAAAGAACCCCCATGAGTTCCAAAGCCTGGTCTTGCATATTGTTTTTCTTTAAAGAAGACAAGATTCCCATTCTAAACTCGTTCACAAATAAACAGGCTATATAAATTCCTTATAATTCAGCTAAACTATCACAAGGCCTCTTTGGTTTCACTTACTTCATTGGACTTAAAAACATAAAGCTTATCCGGGAGTCTTCTGAAGGAATCTGGACTGTACACATAGCCAAATACTGTTTTTTCACCTGGATCTTGAGTGATGAATGATATTCTACTGATGAACTGTATATGCTCTTCACCCTACAAAGATTTAGCCAAAGAAAAACATGAAACACATCTAGAAAATGATTTCTAAGATGTCCAAGAGGACACCTCTATAGAGAACTTAAGAACAAGTCTCTGTAAGAAACAGATAATTTAGTGTTAACAACTGGGTTGAAAACGTAAATTAGCCACCGTAAAGGGTAAAAAAGCTGACGTTTCGAGCGTTAGCCCTTCGTCAGAGCGATTAGAGGAATTGTGGGTTGTGTGTGGATTTATATGTAGGAAGTGGGGCTACGCCATTGGTGGGAATGTGGTGACGAGAAAACAGGAATAAATTAGTTGAATGAAAAGCGCTCGTTGATTCCGTGGGGATTAAGGGTGCCGATTTGGAATATAAATTTTTGTTCTAGTGTTTTACGGCTTTCCGAACTGCCTAGATGTAAGGAAAGGCCGCAAACTGCCATATGCTGTTTAGAATGATAAGGAAGATTAAAGTGTCTAGCGACTGGTTTGGATGCGTCCTTGTCATTTCTTTCCACATCGCGAAGGTGTTCTCGGAATCGGTCACCCAGTCGTCTTCCTGTTTCGCCGATGTATAACTCATTGCAATAAGTGCAAGTTATGCAGTAAATAACATTGGCGGAGGTACACGTAAAGTGATCAATGATCTTAATGGATCTTTTGGGTCCCGATATTTTCTCTACGTTATGAATGAAAGGACAAGTTTTGCATCGTGAGCGAGCGCATTTAAAAGTTCCAGATTGGTCATAGGTTTGAAATGAACTCCTGACTAAAAAGTTGCCTATGTTTTTGTCGCGTTTGAATGAAATAAGTGGGGGTTGCGAAAAGATAGTGCCAGTCTCTGAATCGTTTTGGAGTAATTTAAAATTTTTAAGAATGATAGATTTAACTGCGTGGTTGTGAGGGTGAAACGTAAGAGTAAATGGAATGCGGTCAGTGTTCTCCTTCTCGGCCGTTTGTAGTGCTGCCTGTCGATCGATTAGTTGGGCACGGTGGTAGCCCGCTTGAACGACAGAAACAGGATAGCCGCGTTTATCGAAAAACTGGCACATTGCCTCTGATTTTTCGGAAAAATCAGAGTCGTCACTACATAAACGACGAAGTCTGAGAAACTGTGAAAAAGGTATGGAGTTCTTGACGTGTGATGGATGTGAGGATGAATACAACAAGTAACTATGTGAATCTGTAGGTTTGTAGTAAACACTAGTACATAAGCCGTTGCCTTCAATTGAAATTTTGATGTCTAGAAAAGCCAAAGAAGTGTCGGAAATTTGCCAGGTATATTTAAGAGCCGGATGAAAGGAATTGACGGCGGTTATAAATTGAGTGAGCTCCTCCTTGTTAGAGGAGGTAGCGCCGATGCAATCGTCAATGTAGCGGCCGTAGAGTTGAGGTTTTGGGCCGTGGTATTGGCTAAAAAATTGGTGTTCGATAAAACCTACAAAAAGATTGGCGTAGCTGGGTCCCATTTTAGTACCCATGACCACGCCATTAGTTTGTTTGTAGTAGTTACCACCGAATGAAAAACAATTGAGTGTGAGTACTAGTTCGGCCAGACGGAGCAGTGTTTCAGAGCTAGGTTCTTTAACAGTGCGTAGATCAAAAAAATGTTTGAGGGCCCGGAGACCTTCGTCATTGGGAATGACAGTGTAAAGAGATGTTATATCCATGGTGAAAATAAGTTTGTTTTGGTCGAGGAAACTAAAGTCACGAAAAATTTCAAGTGCGTGTTGGCTGTCCTTAATGTAAGACGGTAGAGTTTTGACGATAGGTGCCATAATTTTGTTTAAATAGCTGGAAATAAGTTCAGTGGGACAACTGCATGCAGGCAGAAACGATGGGTCGACCTGGGTTGTTAGGTTTGTGGATTTTAGGTAAAAAGTAAATACATGAAGTTCTAGGAGTAGTAATGATGAGATTTTGATGAGATGAAAATTTTCAACCCCCCTTCAAATTTTGCATGCAGTTCGGCACTCAGAGGGGATGCACAAAAATGCCCTTTTTAAAGGTTGCAGCACTCTTGTTGCCATAGTAACAACGGCTGCTTGTTCGAGGCCTGAGGCCTCAAAAACGTCGCAAAAAAAGGAGTGAAATGTTTATTCTCTTTCTCAAGCTAAATACAACATTATAAATTGGCACTTCTACCATACATAGTGACATCATTCGTCTTCACTTTGATACATTCAATATTCCCAGGGAGTGAATGCGAACACACGAATATATTATTTATTTCGGTACAGTTGCAGTCATTTTTGTTGTAGGGTAAGACAGGGAAAACGTTTATCTGTATTTCTCCAAAAGTACACCGATTCTTGAACTCAAACTACCCACCTGGTTGGTTATAATATTCTCGTTTTTAAATATGTAAAAATCTCTGCGGGCCGGCCTTTACTTTCCATAGGGGCAATTCGCGAACTAACTCAAAAATCATGTTCAAGTCGGCTGATCTACACGAAACTATCTTCACACCGGTCATTTGTCATAAACATGTACGTTATCACGATGGCGTGACGCTGCATTTCTCCATGAAGTTTCCATCGGTCGCCCCAAACAAGACGAGAAATGGACATTTTTCGATATATCGGCAGATTTCCGCGCATTCTGAAGCAAAAACAACCAAAAAAAAAAAAAAAGGAAAAGTTTGATTCAACGTTCGTAAACACTGAGAGCCTAAGAGTATAAATCGCAACTTGTCAGCGGCAGCACTACATTTAAAACCCAGTTGCAGCAATAGCAATTTGAACGACAATGGCATCTCCTTACAATGAGTAGATTCGGGCATTTGTCATTTCCTAGTGACAGGAACTGAGATATTTCGAATAATCTGAAAAATTTTAGAAAATTTATATAAGATATGATGAGGAAACTTATCACCGTCGCAGTGATTCGAGTCAATCATTGTTTCCATCCATGTCTTGATAAAAAAAATCATAACAAAGTTCGGAAAAAGGGATTTAATAAAATCATAGTGAAAATGGCAACTCGTCACTTGAACGAAACTCCCCATGGTTAATAGGTAATCTGGATTGCTTCAAGTCCTTCAGGAAAAAGAACAGCGACTTCATCACCATTATTTTCCATACTTTTCTCCCGGATATCTTTTACAAGCTTAAAGAAAGATGAATATAACGCAATCTCCCGGTGATTTACACGAGAGGAAGTCGAAGGTCTCTTTAATTTCTCCCTGAGACGGCCAGCCCACTAGGAAGAAAAAGGAGATCGTTCGGTCCAATAACGTTAGTCTATGGAGATTATCAAGCTAATAACTGAGAACATTGTGCCCGTTGGTTCACCAGTGACAGCATTAATTAATTCAAATCTAAACTCCACGGTCCAGGCCTTTTTAATTTTGTAGGCACTTACCGTAGCATTTTATTATCAAGGGAAATAAATCTCAAGGCTCAAGGCTTCATCGTGATAACGTACATGTTTATGACAAATGACCGGTGTGAGGATACTTTCGTGTAGATCAGCTGACTTAAACATGTTACAAATGACATACAAGTAAAACAGTGTATCTTCAGAGGATTTCAGATTGCTCAATTTCCCATGAAAGAAGGTGCAGCACTCGGAATCTGGACGATATGCACACGATTTGAGGTATACGTTTGTGGTTACGTCGAGTAGTCCTCCGTGAAGGCTGATAAATTTTTTTGAAAGATGACAACCAGAGGCGAGATTTCTCTACGGGATATTGCTCATAAGATAACATTCTATCAAAGCCTCAAAATTTTCATTTGTATGAAACGTGTGTTGTTGAGAACATTAGATGTAAACATCGCCAAAATATGTAATATCTGATTTTTGGATTAGTTCGCGAATTGCCCCTAATAAAAGTAGAGGCCGGCCCGCAAAGATTTTTATATTTAAAAACGAGAATATTATAACCAAATAGGTGAGTAGTTTATGTTCCAGAATCGGTGTACTTTTGGAGAAATTCAGATAAACGTTTTCCCTGTTTTACCCTGCAACAAAAATGACTGCAACTGTACCGAGATGAATAGTCTACTGGTGTGTTCACATTCATTCTCAGAGAAAATTGAATAAATCAAAGTGAAGACGAATGATGTCACTATGTATGGTAGAAGTGCCAATTTGTAATGTTGTATTTAGCTTGAGATAGAGAATAAACATTTCACTCTTTTTTTGCGACGTTTTTGTATGAAAATGAGGCCCCAGGCCTCGCACAAGCAGCTGTTGATGCCATGGCAACAAGAGTGCTGCAACCTTTAAAAAGGGCATTTTTGTGCATACCCCCTGAGTGCTGAACCGCATGCAAAATTTGAAGGGGGTTGAAAATTTTTCATCTACCAAGATGTTTGATTCTAAAACTTCCTCTTAATTATGATCCTCTGAGCATGGTGTGAGATAATTCAAAGAAGCAAGTTTGCAGCACAAATTCTGACAAAATAGGTAGAGTTTAAAAATTGAGATTAGATTTGAGAACCGGTTTAAATTTTCTAGATAAAATTCGTACAATATTGTGATAAACAAATTCTAAACTCTGTTCTCTTACTCCAGTTTCCTCTTCATCTATAAAGACCTCAGTCTTGGTAATATGTAGGTTACAGCGTGTTTCCTCGCATCTTGATTTAACGCTTCCTGCCAGTACCTACAAAGATGAATTTCAATTTATAGCAACATTTAGCAATCTCAGATTTATTTATGCATGAAAACGTTTGCAGCCCTTGCCAAATTTATATCTGTGCATGTGATAAATGTTATGCATTTAAGGTGACTCTGAACATACTTCACAGATTGTTTAAACTTCAGTTACAATGCAGTTTTGAATTCAGTGATTTTGCCTCACACACACTGAACATAATTAATATTACTATAATTGCTCCAGTGATTATGTACACCCTCTGATTGGTAGAGGATTGCATCATATCTTGTTTAAGGTGATTATAGCAGGAGCACTAAATTTCAAAATGGCTGCCTCAGGTCTCGTCAGTGTTACAGAGGAAGTGATAAACATGATAAAGAAAATTAAATTCCAAATAGCGCAAATGATGCCAGTAAGTCTGATGTAACTCTTTTCAAAAGAAAGACATGAAGTTTCTGCTGATTGAATTTAATGAAGCTATCAAATTCTAGTGGAAACTGGCTCTTTGTCTTAATATGAGTAATCAAAACAATTGAAACAGAATGGGTTCAATGTCAAAACAAACATTTACAACAGATTTCAAAAGCACCTACAAGCAATTATACTAAAACAATTATTTGCCTTATGCTCAGTGAATATTATACAACGATACTCACTTCACCTTCTGTGAATAATTGTTGAATGTTATCAAAACAGCAACATGTGAAGGGAGTTTAAAGGTAACTTTGAATGAGGTAAACCTTGATATGCTGATTGGAATTAAATTTTTTTTAAGTGTTATCATTCTTTTCGGGTACATAAATGTAAAATTAGGCATTTCTCTTGCAAGCTGTATTGTTCCTGTCACATCATTATTCGTTATTGTGAGAAAATTGATGGGCAATGTGTGTGATACCAATTTTTTAAGGAATCAGGAGTAAAAAAGTGTTGAAACACTGAACCATCAAAGAATCAATTTTGAAACCATTTTTAGCAATTTAGCTTGTATAACAATATGTTAACGTAGTATTGCTTTCGGATCCAACATGCAATCATCTGCTACCTGTAAATAATAAGATCTTAAGTGTGATTTGAGTACTAAATTTAACACAATTCATGTTACATTCCATAGCCCAGTAATTTGATTCCCTACAAAATTTGAATGAAATTAATAAAGAAATGGGTATCTGTACAAGACCAATTAGAAATGATCACTTAATTGACTCTGGTGCATATGCCTTCTTGTTAGGTCGACAAATGACAAAATGTCACCTATGGTAACTGAAAACAACTCGCGTAAAAGAACACTTTCCGAAAGATAGCTACACAATCAACAGGAAACGATTGTTTAAATCAAAGAGGTAATCAATTAAACATATCAAGGGTGTATTACCTTAAAGTTCCTTAAAGACTCAGAACACACAGCTTCACTTATGATCTCTCTAGTTCTTAGAAACTTGAGATGAATATATCTAATTTAGTCCAATCTTACATAATTCTTTTGGAGGAATCTTGATCAGATTAAAATTATAATTATAGATCCATGATTACCATCACGAACATGAGACAAGGTTTCACACCATCTAAGAAAAAACTAACATTTATTCTATCATAAAATTAAGTAGTCAGTGAAGTAAGTGTACCTTAGTAGTTTGCTGAAGTAAGTGTAGCAGCTGTGGTTTGGTGTAGTAGTTTTAAAGAGGGTAAGTTTCTGAAGACTGTGGTGCTGTGTCAGTGGGAGAGTATAGCAAGGTAATTTGGTATTATCAACTGAGTTGATAACATAAATTGGCCACTGTTACGAGTTTCAAAGCTGACATTTGGAGCATTAGCCCTGCATCAGAGTGAATAAAGGAATTGTGGGTTGTGTGTGTTTATACACAGAAAATGGAGCTATGCCATTGGTCGGTACATGGTAATGAGAAAAATAAGAATAAATTAGCCTGATGAAAAGCATTTGTTGATAAACTTTTGTTCTTAGGTTTTGCGGCTTTCTGAACTGCTTAGCGATAAGGAGAGGTAAATAATTTACTTGACCAGAACATTAATTAAATGGAACAGATAGTAAACAGAGCAATAGTAACAGAGGAGGGAAAATGCCAGAAAGATATACTAGGGGGGCGAGGATTTACCTAGGTATAACACAAAATACATTCATCTCTGGCCAAAGCTTGGTGTCTGAGCAATAATAGGTTATCCAGTCAAGTCGCCGACGGTTCAACTCGCCAACGCCAACTCGCCGACGTATAAAATCGAGTAGAAACGTCGGCGAGTTGGTCTTCAATCCAGTACAACTTATTAGAAGTTAAACATATAGAAAAGTGAAAGATCTTTAGGAAAAAAAACATTTTAGTGCAAAACAAAAGTTTATAAGGATCTCAAGGCAAATAAAGCGAGGTAAATATCGCCAATGACTAAGAAAGCTTCAGACGCGAACGAGTTATTGTGTGAAAACAACACTCTAAAGTCTTATCATGTCAATCGGTCAGATTTTTTGAAGAAAACTTGGCTTTCTGGACAAAATCTTCAGTAAAAAACAATCGTTTTTATTTCCAACAAAGTTTATAAGGATCTCATTGCGAATAAAGCAAGATAAACATCGCAAATGACTATAAAAGCTTCTGACAGACAGACGCGAACGAGTTATTGTGTGACAACAACACTGTAAAGACTCATCATGTCAATCGGTCAGATTTTTTTAAAGAAAACTTGGCTTTTTAGACGAGATCTTTCATAAAAAACAATTCTTTTTATTTCCAACAAAGTTTATAAGGATGTCAAGGCGAATAAAGCGAGGTGAACATCGCCAATGACCAAAAAAGCTTTAAACGCGAACGAGTTATTGTGTGACAGCCAGCGTTATTCTAGATTCACACTTGGATACCTCACTTTTGAAGGCGCTTACATTTGGTCCGTCTTAATACCGGGCTATGCCGGTAAACGGCAAACAGTTTATAAACGCTTTTACAATACAGATACGATTAGTATCTAACCAGAAGCTGACCAGAATCCAAAGAAGGGCTAATAAGCGATTGCAGAGTAAGGTGTTTGGATTTTGGGAGAAATATGAGAATGGTAAAAAGACAGCGGCGATGTCGAGATTAAACGGACCTTCAAGAGCAGAAAAATAGCATGATATATATATCAAATTTTATCGTAAATCAAACGTTCTCGATCATAAATAAATCATTCTTTAAAGTTAAAAAACATGTGATTCCGTGTGGTTGCCATGGTTGTCTCACAAGAACTCGATCGCGTCTGAAGCTTTAATGGTAATTAGCGATGTTCACCCTTCTTTATTCGCTTAGACATCCTTACAAACTTTGTTGAAAAATACAAAGAATTGTTTTTTTACTAAAGATCTTGTCTACAAAGCCAAGTCTGACCGATTGACTAGATGAGTCTTTACAGTGTTGTTGTCACGCAATAATTCGTTCGCGTCTAAAGCTTTTTTGGTCATTGGCGATGTTCATCTTGCTTTATTCGCCTTGACATCCTTATAAACTTGGTTGGAAATAAAACAAATAGTTTTTTTTACTGAAGATCTTGTCCAGAAAGCAAAGTTTCTTAAAAAAATCTGACCTATTGACATGATGAGTCTTTACAGTGTTGTTGTCACACAATAACTCGTTCGCGTCTGAAGCTTTCTTAGTCATTGGCGATGTTTACCTGGCTTTATTCGCCATGATATCCTTATAACCTTTGTTGGAAGAAAAAAAATGTTTTTTCCTAAAGATCTTTTACATTTCTATATGTTTAACTTCTAATAAGTTGTACTGGATTGAAGACCAACTCGCTGACATTTCTACTCGATTTTATATGTCGGTGAGTTGGCGTTGGCGAGTTGAACCTTCGGCGGCTTGACCGTAATTCAATAATAGGTTTGACTGAACAACTTGACCGGCAATTTTTTTTTACCTTGCACATGATATGAGAGCTTTGCCTCTGTGCTAATTTTATAAGGTAACTCAGCAATTATTAATGTATATTATTAATAAGTAATCACATGAGTTTTCCTGTGCTATTTGGATTAAATTTGTGAGAACTGGTAAATTTTATAAAATTCCATGTGTATATTTATACTACACTCCAATTGGAATTGTGTGATTATACCTGCACAAAGTACTTTACTTTATCCTAAGTCAACCAAAGTTTACTTACCACAGAATTATATAACAGATAATAAACGAAATGCTTTAAATCCAAGTTATGGAGCAGTTATTCGATTCACGAGGAGAGATATAAAAGTATCAAGAACAATAATGATAATAACAATAATAATAGGTTTAATAGTGATAATTAAAAGGATATTAATTAAAATTATAAGGATCAAACCTGGCATCTGAATGTGAAGTCAGGTTTACTGGATGGCTTCTGAAGCATAGTTGTTGCCATTTCCTTAATCTTAGTAATCCCTGAAAAAAGAGGAAATCCAGGTTTTTAAAAGCAACATAAATGGACAACATAAAGGAGGAACACTTTAAACTTTGTGCTGGCAACAAAGCATACCTAGTAATTTTCAACTTTTACCTTGGAATCAATCAGCAAAGAGGTGACCAAAGAATTGCACTGCAGTCCTATTATCAGAGTTGCTGGGTCATATCACCCTAAGAATGTACTTATGACTCTATGCGTTGGAGAACAACTATTTGAGGGGTTTACAAATTAAATTGACCACTCATGTACTAGCTTAGAACTATAACTTTGCTTATGCCTAAGCCATTTTGGTATTCACGTTAGCTTCCTGCTCTTTACAACACTTTTATAGTGGAAAGTGATTTTCTACAAGTTCTCGATGTAATAAGGTATGTCAAAAAACATATCCAGTGTGATTTCTTCAGTGTTTGAGAAAAACATTTTGACTTTCCTTGCAATGATTTTTAGTTAATGCAAGAATTGCCAAGTCAAAGAATCAAGTCAAAGTGCAACAAAACTTGAGTACCATGCCTGTCTTGTTTCCACACACAACATTGAAACATGTAAACCCAGCGACAGATCACCCATTGTCTGAATTCCGTATTACCAGAAGCCTTGCAAATCCATTGGCATGACGATGATT